TTGTAGTTCTGTAAAGCTTATGTCGGGGATCAACTGTAGTGAACAACAATATGTACATACTTCTTTAGCTTCCTTCATGCTTTTACATCTGGTTATACTAATTCGCTGATTAAGAGAAATCTGCACCTAGTTCCCACTTACGTCGTAGGGCGGCACCTATCACTAGGCTCTCTATTATTATCAGCACCTTTCCTAATCTGTCATCCATTCTTACAACATGATTTGATCATAAAGTCTCGTGTTAATCCCATTACAGCTCTAAATAGATAAGCCTTTATTAACTACTGCCTATCAGCCAACTTGATCATGGCAAATCCATTTCCTCCACACAATGATAAGCAACTGATAAAAACTATGCTTCACTTTTATTAACTCTAACGAATATTCTGATATTATTCGGTACAACGAGTATTTTCGTCATATCGGATGGTTTTAATAAAATCAATTCGAAAGAACGGTCAATAAAAATAAAAGTTCATAACCATGTTGCTCCTACTGAATTTTTATGTTAGGCCCTGTAATTCAATTTTTGAAACGTTGCAAAAAACATGGCTGCTGCTATTTTGGGAGTTGTAATGGGAGATTCGGATGACTAAATTGAATGTTCGTTAGTGATAAAGCCAGATAGTGTAAATGCATTGGATTTTCCCTGAACCAAAACAGCTCATACAGGAATTTATACAGGAAGAAAACTTATTAATGAGACACAAGATTCAAAAGAAAGAGAAGAGTTTATAATTAGTAATTAAACACAACAGAAATATTAGATGTTTATGTTTTCAATACAGATTTTATTCACATTGGAAAAGCCATTGCATAAGTACATCCTACTATGAAAACAGAAGCATACAAAAACAAAAATAGTGCTCCCAAAAAAACATGTTTACGCAACCATTTTAGGCCAAACACATTGGTTGGGTTGGAAAGAAATAACATGGCGAACGAAGCTGGAGTTTGTTTACACGTTGCACTCGTAATCATTTCGGTTAATGAGAACGGTGCATTAGTTAAAATAATAAACTTTTAGATAGAAAAGAATACAAGATATGACATGTAAAAAGGTAACTCCAATTTTTGGAATTAATTGTTGTGGTGTTAGATTACCTTTGGTAAACTTACAGGGAATGCCAATAAGATCTTGTACACGTTTTTGAAGTAATGAATTTCGGAAAAAAAAATCTTTTATTTTATAATTGTTAAAGGTGCCTGTTTGTGATTGAAACATTAAGTTGTTCAACGTATTGTCACAACTTTCAATTTTATTGTCAGTCAATTTCATCATTTCCCTATTCAAGTCTACAAGAAAGTGATTATCTAACATCTAACCGGTATAGCAAGTTAACATTAAACTCAGATTCTGGTTAAACATGATAACAAATCGTTAAAGGTTGAAAATGACATTGATGAATAGTATAAGTCGGAAAAACCGGTACGTTTGCTAAACGAAAGTCAATGTAAAAATAGTTTTGTGAAGCGAATTGTATTGAAATCACCACTATGGCTTACGGTAGTTCTTGGTAACAGCGAAGAACCTTTTAATAATTTTCCAAAATTGTCTACTAGTGGTATGTTTTCGAAGTGTTCTGGTCCCTATCTATGTATCTTATCGACATAAACTTTAGCAAATAGTAACGTTAGCGTTGTTTTTCATTTCTCTTTATCTGAAGCCTTAGTTCTAATTCTTACACTAACTAATATATCTACGCCACTTTTCTCCTACAGTTTTCAAGTAAAATCTAAACTCCTTACTCTCGTCTCAGCATTTTGCAATTCTAAGACCCCTCATACTTCAAACAAAGCAACGCACCTTTCTCATATCCCCTCGTGTACTTAAAGTACCTTTAGTAGTTGTTACAAAATATAATCGTAACAACTTACCACGTGCGTTGCGAGTACGGCTACAACATTAACATTACTCAGCCGATCTGACGCAATCGTAAACGTGGTAGAAAATGAGGTTCATTTAATATTAGGTGAATCAGATTTTTTGTTGCTTATCTTTTGAAGCCCTTTTTCTGAAAGGTGTGTGTTCAAAATAATAGTATGAATTAGTTATGATTTTGATATTTCTTTTTCTGTTTCTTGACTTCTTTTCCCGAATGTAACTTGGTATCGAGTTGATTTTGGCGCCATAGAAAACACAATTATGTAGTCGATAATCGCGTTTGTTATTATAAAAGCGATGTGTTTAAATCTGCTGATAGTCTAATTTTACTATCTTTATTTTGTTCTTAACATTAACTGTTTTAGTGGTCTTTATCCTAGTTTCTAACAGTGGTATAGTTAATATTGCTACTGTTGTTGATTGGAACTGTATTGTATTTTACACTTTCAGTATTATTACTTTCTTTACTGGTTCTATAAAGATCCGTGGCTTTGATTTCCCTATTGGTTTTAATATTTCTGATATCATGTTCATTGTCATTGCCTGATTAACGTTATCTTTTCAAATTTCGTTTTTCCTTTATCCACAGATATTATTATACTTGTATAGTTTTGAAATTGTTTCGTCTTCTTTTGCTTATTTAAAATATAGTTTCTGATTCAAAAATGTTTTCAATTCAGTTCTGGTATCTACTAGATTTTCCGCAATATTTATATTTGTATTGCAATGAATTCGTGTAGGAAGCGTTCGACTAAAACATCCAAACAGACTTAGAAAACATAAAAATTACTTCTTTTTAACGAGAAACCCACTTAAAATATTCCTAACCGTCTAGAATTCTATATAGTCTATCCTAACCTTACTTTAAGACTCAACAACTGCTAGGGCTTGTCCATCAACAAAGGTGCGTCATGAACTTTCACTACCTCTCTCATATCGACTGGTGTTTAACTTATAATGACTCATGGTTGGTTAGGAGTCTTAAGAGTCATGGTTTACGTTCTACCTACTATAAACACGGAACCGGCTTCTAGCTAATTATATTCAATAGGTCAATTTTATGTTGTTATTTGTATATTGTTGTATAGGTAAAATTTGTTGTTTTATAGTCTTGGGTGTGTTTGTATGCTATGATGTATTCAGTTTGATTCATTATGGAAACTTTATGTATGCCTAATTAATAACTAAGTTTTGTCAACACGATTCCTCTCAAAATGGTTATCGTATTCACGTTTTACAATCTCAGGGCATTTCTTATCGTATGTACTTTGTTTTGTCTTTTCTACTTGACGTGTTGGTACTTAAATATCTTGTTCAAAACTAAAATTTACAATTATCAATTTATCGAAATTATCTGTACCTTTTCTTAATCTTTTCGTGCAGTCAGTCTACCATAACTACACTTTAGTATTAAGACCTTTACAATAACATTCGTATTGAGTTCACTAATATCAATTCAATACTAAGGTCGCTCAAATTACTCAATACTTTTAACTATTGAATTTTATTTCACAAGAAATCGACTGAGATCAGATTCAGGGCTAGACTTTTTAATATCCACGTCTTAAAGATTGTGAAATACTGCCTTAACTATCGTATTGTTTCCATTCTACGAATGGCCTTTTTTGGTTGTTGAATTTAATTTATTTTGTTCCCAAAATTAGTTGATCTTGTGTTTTGATTATTATATTTTCGAATATAAAAGGAGTTTTTGGCTTATTTAGAGTAGAAAGGTTTTGGTCAGTATTTCTATAGACCTTATTAACACGCGAGGTCCCAGACTCCCAGTGCAAGAAATCTTACAAGACGAAAATAATATATCTAAAATTTAAAGATTAATCAATAACGCCACCGTCAAACGAACACCCAGTTAATTAAGTACTCAAAACACTAACTACAAAGTAATTGTAAATAGCTTTGCAGTTAAGAAATACATTAAACCAGTGTCTTATCTCACAAAGGAAATTCCATAGCTTAACTAACTATAACGAGGTATTCGTTTAGCCGGCAAAAGGACAGGCAAAGGGACCCCAATACCTTCGCCTGTCCTACAACCAATTATGTTGTTTAAAATTTATAAATTGCCCCTTAGCAAAATGTTTGTGATGTTCCGGAATCCTCTTTGAATTACTTATTATACTCCGTTTGCTATTTTAGCGGTAAAGCTCGAAAATGTCTTAGATTTTACTACCGGAGTTTTGGAAATCAAAATTCTGTTTAATTAATGGTAAGTTTCAATTCGAATTTGTACATTTTCTATACTTAGACCATAAAGCCTTTGTTTGTTCACCGTAATACAAATCCTATTCTAAAATGGTTGCATTTAAAAAAATAACTGTCATGGATGCCAGTTAGAGACGATCGTTCCATTTTCAAACAAAAGCCAATGTCAATTCTACCCACGTCACCGTTTCCGGTCTCGTATACGTGTTGCAGATATCCCCCGTCCAAGTTGTGGGGGAATGAGCGAAACTGTGAATTCGATAAAACTAGCAAACGACCGATGCAGTTTACAAGTTTGTTGGCCTAAATATTTGAGAGGATTAAACTGCAACTTTGAATGTTACCCGCTCTGTTTTGTAATAACAGTGTTATCTACTTTTATTTAGCTCGTTATGTGCCCTAAAAAAGAAATTGCATAAATGCTCCAAGCATTTTCCAGCCAAAAGAGGCTGTTCAACTTTGTTTGGCAAACACTTGAATAATTCTGATTTATGCACCGCAACACAATAACACCTCGCGCACAAGAGGGCGATGTAGTCCGTTGTATTTCGTCAACCACGCACATTATCCAATTCACGTTACATTATCCACCAATTACACCAATTGCTGCTGACTTCATCGAAACATTGACCTTTTCGCGGATTATATGGACCTCGACGAGCTGAACGCATCATTCGTTATCACTATCATACGGCAGTACCGCGCGCCCCGTGCGTGCTCAGTTGGACGGCGACTCGCGCGCGGTTAAGACGTATCTGCGTCGTACCGCCTAATTAATAAATTGACTCAATCGTCCGCCACGCGAAAATTCTTCACAACCGGTCCGACCTGTTAAAGTTATTTTCCTTCGATCACGTGCGACATTCATAACGAATACTCTTTCAAATGTAAGCAACGAACTGTGCGAAGCAACCAATTCTGTGTAAAGTGCGTGTTATACGATGCTTTGTCGGAAAGCGTAAACGAGTATAGTACAAAAGGATTGCAGTGTTATAGGATAAGTTGAAAAACATGGTTGTGTAAGTGGAAGTGCCAGGGGGAGCCGCCGGGAACGGTAGTGTCGGAATGTACGAGGTGTCGTGCGTCGCCGGCAACAAAGTAGACGCTGCGTACGCAGTCAAGAGCCTTTCGAACGTGATACCACCAGGCATGGGGCACACGGTGTCCGTGCAGCGCCACCATGCGCACTCCCAGTCTTACAAACACAAGCAGGAGCTACCACCTCCTGTCAGCAAGCCAGATGCTTTGAAGTCCCATGTCATGAGACTCCTGAAGAGATCTAAAAGCCACACGCCAGCCACCAGGGCTGCAGAAAACCAAAGCGATCCACGAAACTTCGATCGCCGAACGGTTTTCGCGAGGCCTGTGGTTGATGAACAGCGTCGCAGGAGGAATTCAGCAGAGAGGCGGCGCAGTGGTGACAAGAGAGTGATGGTGACCATAGTGGACGGTCTCCCGGTTGTCGTAACCGGACAGAACCAAGTACCACAACCGCCTCAGCATCCACCGCCAGTGACTCCGCACCATCGGCATACACACAAGGTAAGTAAATACTGATAATCGTGTGCACATCGATGCAGTTTATTTCTTCGGGTTCATTCGATTGAACAAAAAACTATGCCGTGATGTACGCAAAACACAGGAAATTGTGACATATTTAGACCGTTCGTATAAAACGCACGCGTTTTTAACAGTCGTATCTTTGATTTTATAACTGAATACTCTCCTAAATATGCGTTAACTGCGAAGATAATGAAACAATTGAACTGGAGACATTTGCATATTTGTTCAACGTGTGTCTTACGTCATGCGTGCGTTATCTTAATTAACTTTACGCTTAGAGTACAGAACAGAGAACTGATCTCTGGTTACAGAAAAACAAGACATGTATTGCAACTCAACATATTTTAGTTCTTGGAACAATTGTGGATGATATATACATTATTATTATGTACTATAGTTCATTTTGTGGTTTGTTCATGTACCTACATAAAGATGAATATAGGGAAAATGAAAAATACTACTTTATACGCTATTACGCATTGCATTATCCATGAACTTGTAATAGTTATTATTATTATTATATAGATTATAACCTAAGCACGTGTGGCATAATTCAAACACGTTGTGGTACGTTTTATATTCGAGTCTAGAATATTAAAAAACAATACCGGTAGTATAAAATATGTGCGCGGCCTAATTGTAAGACTAGTAGTACACTATCGTATAGCCGTTTAGACACGCATCGTTTGGCTATAACAAAAAATAGACTTTATTTTTAGTGTTATACGTTTTCCTGTTCAGTTCGATACAGATGTTTTATTATCAATTAGTTTTGATATGTTTAGTATTGAATAGATTTTATAAATAATTTGATGTAACACGAAATAGAACAACGCAATGAAAGCATATACCAATAATATATCCGCAAATCGTTAGTAATATATAATTTTCGCGTGCCTGAATTACGTATGAATTACACCTACATTTGATTAAGCTTTAAATTCAAAATATTTCCCGACCGTTCAGTGTACAGTCGTGTGCGTCGATCGTTAGCACACTTCAAAAATGGCCACCGGGAGTTTTTACATCGACATACATACCTACATTCAGCCTGCATGCTAGATGCATTACGAAATGTAACTAACGCGTTTAAAAGTGATAGTCTATGACTAATCAGTTCGATATCGGAATGGATTTTAATACAATTGCCCCACTATCATAATCTAGCAAGAACGTGTGAAAGAAAAAGTGAGTAATTCATTAATTTACTCATTTACATTTCTGATTCGCGTATGCAAATGTTGGTGTTTAATATGCGGTTATTAATGATCTTCGTTTCGTGCGGCTTATAATGGATGAGCGAAAGTAATTAAGTTCTGATGCGAACTGCTCGATTTCCGATATACTTTAATTTAATAGGTATGCTAATTATAAAATGAGATTCGGTTTCGTTTGTTTTGGTAATTACGGGACAAAGGCGTGCACAAACTTTCTTTAATAGATTTTCAGCTTTATAATTTTACAATAAAGTAGGAATTACAGGTAGCTTTACATACTGATGTCCTATGGAAATTCAATGGTATGCGTTATGGAACTTCGGGAAATCTTATAAATATTTCTATGAACGTATCCGTTACGGTATACCTTATGTCAACTTGAAGTTCCTCGATCGAATCAGCCATTATGATTCAGTTACACAATCAGCCGGTTAGTAAACAAATATTGCGGGTTCCTTGAACGCGACCGAACGGCTGTCGGCTATATTTACCCGCACGTGTGTTCCGCCCATTATTTTTAGCCGCGTGGACGAATCTCAGATTTATAACGAACGAGTCGAGTTATTTGATTCGAGGACGTGACAGTTGCATAGTGTGTGCTCTATTTATTTTAATTTAATATTTAATTTATGGCATTGAAACTTCTGCAAAATAGTCTTATTTAAGTCTTGTTTGCGATACATTTTAGGCTGCTTTGAGTTTAACAAAATTGGTTGATACTATTTCTACGCTTCTAGCCACAATGTTTTTTTTTTTTCAAAGTGTAGGTTTAATAAATTAAATTCTAAATTGACTTAAACAGAATTTCTTATATCAACATTAAGTTAATGTAAATGGGTTCAGGATATGTGGACTTTTGAGTGCCTACTGATTTAAAATGCGAGCGTTTTAGGGTCAAGCCACAGCATAGGAAATAACCTTTCAGGGGGTAAAATAGGGATCTAAATTGGGTAAATTTGAGTTTAGGGTGGCGGTCAGATAATGGAATTGACTTGTACGATTTTGTTTTATATTTTTTGAAAAGTACTTTTTTGGGGTGAATAGAAAATAAGTAGGAAGATGTAACTGGTTCTTCGTCTTTTTAAACAGATTTATTTAGCTGACCCCGTTTTTTTATTCTTTATTCTTTCGTTCTTGGGTCAAATTTAGTTGTTTTTTTAAATGAATTGGTATTCTCATATTTGTTACTTATTTTATACAAGGCTATTGTATTCAGCCCAAACAGTTATTATATAACTAAGACTCGTGCTAGACATAACCAACCAAGCTTAGAGTGTTTTCAAAAGCAACAGACACGTTGTTATTGACAATTTGAAATTGAAATACACAATAATACCAAACTTGGTACCTACTTATACAAAGTCGACACAGTAACTCCTCATCTTATGTAACTACTTGAATAATTGTGGGAAGTCGTTGATTATGTCTCGCTATTCATAAAGGCAGCTTGACAGAGGATATCTTTTCGACATAATGGTACCAAGTAATAACGAGTTGATACTTGGTTGCTAAGTTGACACTAGAATTATTGCGGAATAGACCTGCTTAGGTCGAACTTAGTGCTTTCGTGACCTATGAACGTTAGTTTTGTGTGGGAATTTTATCAAAAATTGTGAAACGAATTGGAGTTTGGTTGGTTTATTTGCGTGGAGTTTTTATAATAATGTTGTAGTTACATCATAATTCTGTATTCACATGATATACAGAGTGTAACAGACTACCACGGATGGGGCCCAACAGGGCTGATGCCGATTCGGAGTCGCGGAGAACCTAACGGGTAACCGGGGCTCCGGCTCGACGTGCAGGAGAAGGAACAGGGTGGTTTTAGTCAGTAAGAGTCTGACACTCCACTCCCGCTTCACCCAGGCTCAGGAGTGATTCGATGACTTTCCGCACTTAAAAAAAAATACAGGGTGACAAAATACGACTTTTGACGAAGTCAGTGTACTGTATCTACATACACTTTTGACCCTTAGAAAATGGCGATAGGTATGTTTTGACTTCTTTGTCATATCTTGTCGTGTTCGTGTTTCAAGTTACTAACTGCTTATTTATCTTATAATGGTGTTTGCTTATACAAAACATGCCTAATAAATAACTGAAAATGTCTGGTTCCCACGACCAATGTTAAAATTATACGGTAAAACTTTAATTGTTGTATTATACGTCGAAATATTAATTAAATGGCGGAAAACGATGATGTCACTTATGTTTATAAGTCGTTTTTATAAAGGTCGTAAGAAAATTCATAGTCATTTGGCTGATTTCTTGGACTTTTGTCACTGATGAACATTTTATGTGTGCTGTCTATCTTCCCTTCTTGGAAAAATATGACGTCATGTACTTATTATTTATGTCATCAGAACTTCTTGGTCTTTGATAACATTTAACTTACATTTATTGCTAATAAATTAGCGTGAATATTGATGAATTCAAATAAAATTGATACCGGTTTCAACCATTCATGTCGGGAGCCATTCCACTCTTTTTAAAATACCAGCAACGTATTTTTAACTTCTTCAGAAGTTACGTTGCAATGCAATCGTTTACCATCAGGTGATCCGTCTGCTCGTTTGCCCCCCTCCCCCTCCCAATTTTAAAATAAAAACCGAACAATACCAGTAACTGTACATGTTGTCTTGTTTCCATACAGAACTAAAGCAAACACCGCAGGCGTCTAAAACTAAATAATTAAACACTTATTTGTTATACAAAAATAGACACAATCCATATACATATACGTACGATTTTACTTATCAAATGCTCTGATAACGCTATCTCTGACGGGAGCAAAATCGGCGTTTTTGTCTACGCCCGATGATACACACACAAATACATACAGATGATATTTATGACCCCTAAAAAGTTTTAATATTTCTTTTATATTTGCGCTGTTTTTTTTTCTATGTATTTGTATGATGACATTTTGTTTTGAGTTTTTTTTTTCTAATTGCCAATGATGTAAGGTTTATCAATTGTTTTATTTTAGTCTTATATAAAGTTTATTGCGTTTCATTAATTCAGGTTCATTGTTATCACAATCTTTGTGTGATTATTAGTGAATTTTGTGTTTATTTAAGCTGTATAACAGTTATTTTTAGTGGTCTTTATTCTATCCTATTCGACATGTTTTCATGCATTCAGTTATTCAAAGCAAAATTGATGTAGGTATGACATGTTGTAGCATAATATTAGGTAGGTAGGTTCTTATTCCCTAGAGATGTGCCATATCAGACTTGGGGGGCTCCGGGCCAGGTCTCTTTTAGAGGACCCGGTGCCCCTTACAGGTGTTGAGGGTGACCACCGGGGTGGTGTTAGTGATATAAAAATCCCACACTCCCTAGTCTTTGTCCCCAAATAGCTAGGCAGTTATTGAAGGCTAAACCCCTTTTAAAAAAACGGAGGTTCTTACGTAATAGTCTCATGAACCATTCGACTTCAAAACAATTGTGACCACTTCAATAACAATGTGACCACATCTCAATTTCGGTAAATATCTTATACTTACATTTAATCATCTTTCAATATTTCGTGTCGTGTTGTACCAGATCAAACACTTGAATAAGTATCTCGATTCTCGACACCTTCGCTGCGGGGAACAAAAGGAGTTGGGTTTCAAAGAATAGAGAGAGTTCTATAACGACAGTCTTTGTCTTTGGGCTCCCCGTTCTTATTAACACTAGTCGCGTATTTACAATATCATCTGTTGTTTGGTTTTTTTTCTATTCGAAAAGGTTTTTAAATTATCCTAGGAGTGCTATAAGTAATCAATAGGGTAATATGATGTGTTAATTGTTAACCACTTTTCGTCAATTATGTTGTGAGTTGAAGTTTGTTAGTTTTATTAGTTCTCAAATATTGTAAGTGCTGTATTGGTCTAATTCAAATAAACAATAGTATACGTTAAGATAATATCGAAAACATTAATAGATCTGTTACTAATGGCCGATATTTCCAACGTCAGTTAAATTTTATCATAGGATTAAATTTGATTATTTGACAATGGGGTAGACGACTAATTTTTATTTTAATGTCCGTCTGGTAGATTATTTAAAAATATTAGACACGTATTTTTTATTTTCTCACGGAAACGAATAGTTTTGAAGATATATTGATTTGAAATGTCGCGTGACGTCACTTCTCAGTACATTTTATACTAAGAAATGACGTTTTACCCCCCACTCCTAAACTTTAACTCGTTTTATCTAAGTATTGTTTTATTATACGACAAAATAAAAAAATACGTGTCTAATATTTTTTTATTACCTAACTTACGGACTTCTTTCTTCCATACTAAAAACTATCTACAATCAATCAATCGTCAATTATATTCTACATTTGAGAATTAACTGCTGATTGAAAAATCGACCCTAAATTGGGTTCCTACTTTTTCCTGGTGAATCTTCCACGCAGATACTGTCAAATTATAATTCTAAGGTCTCAGGTAAGTTTCTCGCGACTTACTAAGGATAATGAAGATAAATGTGCAAAGTTTTCGACTTGGTTAGTCTTGGGCTGTGTCACTGTGTAATTGGTGGACAGAGGCCAACATACTTTTAAGTTTCGTCTGCCTTATAACTTTTCAATGGCTGGCTGAGACTCGTTCAGTTGAAATTTTTGAGTTTCAACTGACGAATATGTTCTGCAAACTTATTTGAGTTTTAATTCTTATGTTGTCTAAACGACATTGAAGGTTAAACAATATTACAATGCTGAAGATTGGGAGTTCATGTCTAACTCACGGTTATTATTCATTAAATTATTTCACAATGTTCATGCATTTCATTTGATTTGCTACATGTCTGTATTGTATGTACATTTTATGTTTTTTTACGAACTATCGTGAGGTATGTACATTTTATGTCCGATTTTCTCAGTCATTTCATCTTCTACGGGAGATTTTCAAAGAAGTCCCAAGTCAAAACTATATAATAATATCAATGTTTGCAACATCTAAATCCCAACTTTCCAATACAATTTACCTTCATTAGTAAAACTCAGTAACATCGTAATCTTCCAATCTTAATCTAACTTCGATTCCGAAGTTGGCGAAAGTTTGGAAAGCTCGGAGCAATAAATTATCTAGAGGTAAATTCATATGTTAGTATGTTCGTTTTACCTAATCGGCGTACATACATTCATAAACTTTGTCCCATAGGCATTGGTACCTACTACACCACCTACTATGATCCGTACATACTTCTTCTTCTGTACATTTTTTAGCTATAACATCTTCTGATTGACTTCATTGCGGGATCAAAGACGCTTATTCATGGCTTTGCGACCGGGACGCGCTGGACTTCAGTTTCGGTGTTTTTATATTTATATGTATCTACTGTAGATCATGGTGCACAGTAGCGGTTTTGAGAGGTTGTAGCTGACTTGTTCCAATAAAAAAACTTATTTAGCTTCCATCGCGTTTATGTATCTGGTCATACAAGTACGCCGCCGGTTAAGAGGATTCCGCTCCCAGGATTTTTTCCTTGTTAAGGTCCTCATACATCGTTTGAGGTCCGTATCCTAATCGATGTGTTCTCAATTTTTTAGCTAACTTGTGTTGAACTTTTCGTGTTTACGTTTTGCATATGTAGGATTTTAGGGTACCTAATGCCCATACAGAATTAACCACTTATTTTGATTAGTTACGGTCTTAAAACTTCATTGCGTTTCGTATTT